ATTTTTTAAAACTTACATATGTCATCAAAGGTATAAATAATTTTTTTAAAAATCAATGTGTTGGGATTGCATCAAAATTTAAAACTTTGGGCCCTCTCGGGTCTCCTCCACTATGGTAACTTTTCTGTCCTCTCAATAAATGCTGCTTTAAAAAAAATTAAAAATTTTCCGTTGAAAAGACATAATTTACAATATGAAAAGGCAAACCTGAGATGGGACAAAATATTTGCACATCACATATCTGATTATTTCAGGAAAATTTCCAATCATTTCCTTCCTCTGCTCTCATATGAACAAAAAAGCAATCAACACTGAAGACTTCTGTAACCCCAAAATATGCGGGAACTTCTTCTCACCACTAAGAAAGCAATCAATTCTGCAACTGACATGAATTGGGTGACCTCCAGTTTTATTCAGACACTATCTACCTGGAAATAGTGTCAGATCCCACAGATTGAGGTCTCAGTCCCCAAGACTGTCCCCCTCAGACACCAGTCACAAACCCAGGTCTCTGGAACTTCTGACTCACCAACTTCAAGTTGAAATTTCCATGACTCCCACCCTAGGTTTGATTAATTTTCTGAAGCAACTCACAAAACTCAGGGAAACACTTATGTTTACCTGTTTATTATAAAAGAAATAACAAGTAATACAGATGAAGACGAGTAAGGCGAGGTATGTGGGAAGGGACACGGAGCTTCCATTTGTTCCATGGGTACACCACGTTCCAGTAACCTACACGTGTTTAGCTATCCAGAAGTTGTCTGAACCAAGTCCTCTTGAGTTTTTATGAACAACTGCATCAAAATGTGATTGGCCTTCAGGGAACAGGGTGGGAAATGAGGGTCTTATCACCCATAATCAGAGAGGCAGGGGAGATTAGAGTCCTGTTTTAGGTGAAAGGAGGGCAGGAGAAGGTCAGAGAGATTCTGTTTCCTGAGGCATGCAGCACTCAACATTATAACAAAAGACTAACAAGGGCTTTGGGAGTTATGAGCCAGGAACCATGTATGAAAATATATCTGTATCTATACCTATCTATATAACAGTGCATGAATATAAAACTTCTATTCAGAATAAATAAAGGACACATAACTCAATAAGACTATTCAAATTTTAAAGGGCAAAAAAATCTGTACATAAATATTCATAGTGATTTTATTCATAACACCTAAAATTTGAAAACCACCCATACTTCTGTTAGTGGGTAAATAGCTAAATCAACTGTGGTACATCTATACTGTGGAATACTACACAGCAATAAAAAGGAATGAACCACTGATACAAACAATAACTTGGATGATTCTCAGAATAAGTATGCTGAGTAAAAAAAGCCAATACCCAAAAGTTACATACAGTATAATATAATTTACATAACATTCTTGAAATGACAATTACAGGTAGTAAACAGATTAATAGTTATCCATAGGTAGGGAGAAGAGTGGAAAGAATTATAAAGTATAATATGAGGAATCCTTTAGTGATATAATTGTTTGTTTCTTGACTGTGGTGGTGGTCATAGGAACCTATACTTGTGATAAAGTTGCATAGAACTAAATACACACACAGAGAGATGAGTACATGTATGTAAGGAAATCTGAATAAGACAGGTAGATTGTATCAACATCTATTTCATTGATCTGATGGCATACTATTGTTATGGAAGATGTTGCTGTTTTTGAGGATATCAAGTAAAGGGTAAACAGGATCTCCCTTTGTTTTTTTACAACTACATATGAGTCTACAATTATCAGTAAAAAAGAAAAATTTTAAAATAGGGTAAAAGATTTCAGCAGACATTTCATCAAAGAAGATATATAAATGGACAAGACACAAATGCAAAAATGTTCAACATCATTAGTCATTAGGGAAATGCATAGCAAAACCACAATGCACACCCACAAGAATAACTATCATCAAAACAAGGGACAATAACAGGTTTTGGAGAAAATGGAACCCTCCTGCTTTGTTCGTGGGAATACAAACTGATGAAGCCACTTTCTAAAAAGTCTGGCAGTTTCTTAATAAGTTCAACATAGTCTTAGCATATGACCCAGCAATTCCATTCATTGATATCTATTCAAGAGAAAGTGAACTATATGTTCACACAGAGGCATATATGTCAATGTCCATAGCAGCGTTTTCATAACATCAAAAAGATAGAAGCAATCCAAATGTATCAACTGGTGAATGGATAAACAAAATGTGATATACTGCAACAAAGTGGTATTTGTCAATTAAAAGGGATAAAGTACTGTTATATGAAACAACATGGATGAACTTCAGGAACATTATGCTAAGTGAAAGAAGCTAGATACAAAAGATCACGTATTGTACAATCCAATTTATTTGAAATGTCCATTAAGGAAATAAGCAAGTAGATGAATGGTTACCTATAACTGAGGGTCAAAATGGGGAGTAAATGAAAACGAGACAGAAATTTTGGGGGGAGATGGTGGAAATGTTTTAAAATTAGTTTGTATTGATAGTTGCACAACTCTGTACATTCACTAAAAATCAATGAATTGTATGTTTTAAATGTACTAAAATCAATGAATTGTATGTTTCTCCAGACTAGCCATCTGATTGGGATGCAGCTGTAGTATAGCAGAAAAGAGCAGTGAAGCTGGTATTAGAATACCTGGATTCCCAGACCTCAGCTGCTACATGGATACTATTGTGATTGCAGTTTGTATATCAGAAGGTTTTTATATGAAAAATGTTTAGTTGGTCTAAAAATAAAAAGCACTTCATCTCGAAAAAAAAAAAAAAGAATACCTGGATTACAGTATTTGTTCTGTTATCTAGCGGTTATGTGATGATATGGATTTTTGTGCTGCTGCCAAGTATAAACCAGTTTGGCACATTATTTGGAAACTCAAAATATGTGATGTCTACAACACTTTAGGGAATGTGGAAAAAGATAGGATAGAATATCTAAAATGGAAAACTTTGGTTAAACATTCACCATAAATGTGAATAAATTACTTAAATTTTCTGAGACTCAGCTTTGTTATCTATAACAAAGAGTTAACTGAAATATTGTATGTGAAAGAGTCTAGCTCAGTGTCTGGAAAATGGATGATGTTAATAAATGTTTCCTTAGGTTAGAATGCTTCCTCCACTTTCTCCATCTCTCCAGCTTTCCCCAAAAAAAACCCCAAAATTCAAACATGCAAATTCTGATTCATCTTTTAATAAACAGCCCAAAAGACACAACTCTACAAAAGTTTTCTAAACTTCAGGCAGTAATAGCCCTTTGGTTAAGAGTATTGGGCTTTTATGTATGCCATAAAAGATAAGATAGACAAATGGGACCTCATCATACTGAAAAGCTTTTGCACAGGAAAGGAAACCATCAAAAGAGAGGGGAGACAACTCACAAAATGGGAAAAAAATTTTGCTAATTGTATCTGACAAAGACCTAATATACAGGATCTACAAGGAACTCAAATGAGCCAAAAAGGGGGAAAAAAGCAAACAGCTCTATTAAAAAATGAGCAAAGGACATGAATAGACACTTCTCAAAAGAAGGCATACAAAGCAGCCAACAGATAACATGAAAAAATGCTCAGCCTCACTAATCAGAGAAATGCAAATCAAAACCATACTGAGATACCACCTTACCCCAGTAAGGATGGCCATCATTAATAAATCAAAAAACAATAGATGCTGGTGTGGGTGCAGAGAAAAGGGGACACTTCTATACTGTTGGTGGGAGTGCAAACTAGTCCAACCTTTATTGAAAATAGTGGTGATGATATCTAAAGGAACTAGAAATTGACCTTCCATACTATCCAACAATTCCCCTCCTGGTATTATTATTATACCCAGAGGAACACAAATCATTCTACAAAAAAGACATCTATACACGCATGTTTATTGCTGCACTATTCACAATAGCAAATACATGGAACCAACTCTATTGCCCATCGAAAGTAGACTGGATAAGGAAAATGTGGTACATTTACACGATGGAATATTATGCAGTCATAAAGAAGGACAAAATCATCATGGATTTCTCAGCAAATTGGAATTGGAATCAATCAATCTTAGTGATCTATCACAAAAACAAAGAACCAAATACCACAAGTCTCACTCATAATGAGGCCTGATCATTCGAACACAATAGCACAAGGAAGAGATGGCAGTCACCCAATGCTGCCAGAGGAGGAAGGAAGTGGGGGTGGTGGTGGCATGTAACAACACAAAGGGTACCTGAACCTAAACTAAACCAGAAGTGAGGACCAGTTAGAGGCCCAAACTTCACCTGCAAACACATTACTTATGTACCTAATCCTGACTTGTTTACCACATCTTTATAATAAAATAAAATTTAAAAGAAAAAAAGAGTATTGGGCCTTTGGAATCAGAAGAGACCTCCAAATTTAAAACCAGGACTGACATTTAGTAGCTCTCTAACCTTGGACAAGTTACTTATTCACTCTGCATGTAGATTTCCCATCTATAAAATGAAATCATCACGGTACATAACTCATAGGAGCATGGAGGATTAAATGAGATACACATATAGAGCACTTTGGCACAGTCCCTGACTTAGTAATTCCTCCATACGTTTTATATAGTAGAGATAGTAATAGAAAGTTTCCTCTTCAGTAAAATGTCAATAAAAATGCTTACTCTGCCTCCCAGGGTTGTGACAAAGTTCCGATGCAAGTTAAAATTGTAATACTGAACATTGTATATATTGGTATATACCTGGAGATATTTGGGGCAAAGTTCTAACCTCTGTTTTATAGAACATGCTTTCCCTCGCCCGTCTGCACTGGGGTTAAAAATACCCAGCATTAGTTAATAGTATACGAGTAGCTGATGTACAGAAAGCATTGCTAATATCAGCACCTGCAGACCGGACCTCGATAATTCCCTGGAGTTCACCTCCACCGGCTCCCGCCCCTTGGCGCCGCGCAAGCGTACATAGAATTTGCTGCTCTCTCATGCCCCCGCCTCCAACCCCCACCCCCACTCCGTCGTCTGCCCAACACGCAGGCGCGTCTCCTCAAATCCTGCTCCGAGCCCCCCTCCTCTTTCTCTTCATTTCGTCCCCCCTCCTCTTCCAGCAGGTTCAAACTCTTCTCGGTGAGAGTGGCGGCGATCGCGAGGTCACGTGATGAGCATCCTGCTGCCCAACATGGCGGAGTTCGACACCATCTCGGAACTGGAGGAGGAAGAAGAAGCGGCCACGTCGTCGTCGTCGCCGTCGCCGTCGCCGTCGTCGTCGGTATCTGGGCCGAACGATGACGAGGAGGATGAGGAGGAGGAGGTAGAGGAGGAGGATGAAGAAGAAGAGGAGGAGGCGCCACCTCCGCCTCGGGTAGTGAGCGAGGAGCATCTGCGGAGATATGCCCCCGACCCAGTATTAGTGCGGGGTGCCGGCCACATCACTGTGTAAGCGAGAGGGGGCCGTGGGATTTGAAATGACTGAGATTTGGCAACAGAGGAATGAGAAGGTGGTCTAGGGGCCTATGGAGTGGGGGGGGTTGACTGAGGGGTACAGTTAGGAAAGGATTCCTGGTTTAAATGGAGAAACCGGGGGTGGATACGTGTTAAAGAAGTGAAGAGAATGTAAATGTTATGCACCAACACCAGGTAAAGAGTGAATATGGGACAGGGAAGTTAGGGATTTGGAGCCAATGGGATTGGCGTATAGGTGAGTCTCTTTTATTATATGTGTGCTGTCAACTGAATACTCTAAACTGCAGGATGTACCAGAGGGTTCTTTGCTGCCAAGGTTGGTATCTATGGGAAACGACGACTGCTGGGACATGTGACAAAAACTAGGCTTGGATTCTTCTAATTAGAAACATGATATATTTTGTGAATAATATTATAGAATGGCCATTTACTCACATATTCATTCCATTCATTCTTACTCTCGAATCCGTCTTTAAATATCTCACCATTAGAGGTTCAGGTTGAGACACAGCTATGGAAAGTAGAAAAAGCAATGGACTGAGAGTCAGGGTTTCTTGGATGCAAGTCCCAGTTTTGTTTCTTACTGGCCCCGTGACCTTGGTCGAGTTGTTTCCATTTCTGGGCCTTGATTTCTTCATGTAAAATGAAGGTTGAAAGTGGATGTTTTCTAAAGTTTTTCAGCTCTGAGATAATTTAAGATACCACCAGGGAATTTTGTATGACTAAATATTAAACATACAAGCATTAAATATATATGGAAATTAGTCTTCCAGGAACTGAAGAGGATTTTTTTGAAAACATATCCAGGGTAGCTTTTTAAAAATTGAAATCTTAAATCATATGAGAAAATAAAATGGGAGGGACTTTATAATATAGTAGTTACAAAGCAAAAAAAAAAAAAAAAAAAAAGGATGGTTCTCTGAGCTTTAAGGAGTGCTTCATTTTTATTTGCTTGGTCTGTAAATGTTACAACTTTGAGTATTGTATCATGTTCTTCCTCTGAACTATGCTATATTTTACTGCATTTTCAAAATATGCCTGTTTTTGCTATCATTTCATGCTACCTCTGATTTTGATAATGGCTCACCTAGCCCCTTTGACTTTGAATTGAGTTTGTATTATATTAAATCATATAATATGTGCACTACCTCCCCATCATGTTAACTTTAATTTTTAACATGTTGAGTATTTTGATTGTACTATACTTTTATAATCTTTGCATGAAATATATTAGCAAAGATTTCAAAATTATGGAAGGGACTGGGGAGGGTTTTAGACCTGCCTTTTAATTAGGCAATTTTAAAACAATTTTTCTTGGTTCAAGAATTTTGCATATAGCCTACATTGTTCAGGTACCATCCTACTGCGTTGTTTTAGTTTTATTTCTTTCTTCACTAGGGAGACAGTTTATTATTTAAACGAATTATGGTTCTCACACCATAGGTTATTTTTATGCAGATTATTTCACATTACTCTTATTCCAGTCCATAATTATATATTCCAACACTCTACCCACACATTATTTTGTAAAATTCAGACAATAGAGAAGGAGCAAGGAGATAGAATTTAAGTTCCTTGAAACTTATGTGTAGTTCCATTCTACCCTCCACACACCATGATGAAATACTTACCACCCTATTTTCTTCATTAAAAGCAGAGCACTGACGCTTGTCATGCCCAGGCCCTTGTAATTTGTGTAATGTCCCTTTCAGTTTAAAAATTCTGGAATTAGGAGTGTGAAGTATTAGTGCTGGTAGTACTGTTGGTATTAATTGGCTGAAGCCAAAACCTGAAAAGCAACAAACCAGTACTTGAATCACTAGTCTGTGTGTGTAGTTTGGAAACTTACTTAGTTTTATTGAACACATTATCTCACTTAGCACATTTGATGTTAAATGTCTGGAATTTGAAAAAAGATGAAATGTTTAGGAGAAAGTTTTACTGGATCTGAGAAACGAATCATTCTATAATAATAAAACTTTCCTTTTTCCAGATTAAGTAAAATTTTTATGAAATAGTTCATCTTATTCTGAGGTATCTAAAATATAAGCCTCTGTGTAATTCTTTTTTTGGCATAAGAATGTTAGAGTTGCCCTAAACCATACATCCTATTCGAATTAAATATTTCATATTCTCTCCTAACCCTAAATTTTTTCCATTTTTTGTACAATCTTCTATTGTATAGAGGACTTTGTTTCTTTTCAATGTTTAAAATTTGAGACCCTTCACCTCAAACTCAGTATATCTTAAGCCCAATATTTTTGCCTCCCTAATTGTCATGCTTTCCATTTGTCTATTTTTTTACCCCTAATCTCCCAGGGTAATATTTAAAATATCTTAGTCATTTTGACTCTTTCTTCTCCTTGAACTGCCCTATGCCAGTCTGTCCAAGAATTACATCATCATACGTTTTAAAATGTCTCTTAGATTTTTCTTTTTCTCTGTTCCTATTTGGCACCACTCAAGTTTGGGTTACCATCATCTCCTGCTTGAATTATTGCCACAGTCTGCTGTCTCTCCCCACTCCAATCTATCCCGCATGCTTGTGCCAAACTGATTTTCTTAAAACACAGTTTAATTATGTTACTTTCCTGCTGCAAATCTGCATTGGATCTTAATTAGGTATAAGTTTCTATGCCTTCTTCCTCCAGCCTTAGAGTTCAAGGAGTCCCTCACTTTTCCAATCCTCACTTTATTTGTGCCTTCCATACCCTTCTCTTCCAGTCCCCTCCTAGACCGTGTTCCAACAGCTAGCCCGTCTCTTCAATATTACCTCTCTACTAGCTCAGCCTGTAAACTTATTCAGTCTCTCTAATTTTTAAAAAACTAGACAAAGGCCTCCCTATACCCATGTTCCCTTTAGCTATTATTTAATCTCTCTGCCTTCTCAAAATTTCTAAAGAGTAGCTACATTCACCTTATTTCCTCTTCACCCCTCTCTAATCTGGATTCTGCTACCACAACCCCAGAGAAGCTGTCCTCAAGGTCACTGTGTTCCTCTTTTTGCTAAATCAGTGGACATCTTTCATTTTTTATACTTCTGGTCCTCTCTGCTGCATTTGACAGTTATGACTACTCCTTTCTTAGAAGCTTCTACTACAGGGGTCACAAACATACAGGCCTTAAGCAAGGCAGGTCACAGAAAATAATGCAGCATAAGTAGAAATGGGGCCTTAGTTGAACTGGAAGGTATATATCTTACCTGAAGATGTTCAAATTCAGATTTTTTTTTAATGCTGGCCAAACAAACCTTGGAACTCCTTGATCACTTCACTCTCTTGGTTCTCCCTGTACTTTTCTGACTGTTCCTTAACTGTCTCATTCATGGGCTCCTCTTCCTCTCTTGTCCCTTAAACACCAGTGATCTCCAGAGTTTTACTCTCAGCCCACTACTCTTCTTATATTCCTACTCTCCCAAGATGATCTCACCTTACCTCTCATGGTTTCAGTTTTCTAATATCTCCCAAACAGGAATTTCTGTACCAGAACTTTTTCATGCTCTTATCTGGGCTTCTTCATTTGAAAGCCCACTGTCTTCTTAAATTCAGCTTATTCAAACAGAACTCATCCTCTCACACCAATCCAGGGCCTCCTCATACCCCCACCCCAAACACCAAAAGAAAAAACCCTGCTGTTTCTGTATTTGCCATCTCAGTTGAATGGACTTCCACCTATCCTGTTACCCATCTTTGGTTCTCCTTCCCACACATACTTCCCACAGCTAAGCAATCAGCAAATATTAACAAGATATGACCTAAACATTTCTTCTTTCCCTCCCTACCACTACTTCCTTGATTCAGGCCCCTTTCACTACCCTAACTAGTCATCTTCATCCTTGTCATCCTCACAATCCATCCTGTAGCCTGCTGCTAGCTTAAGACACCAAAAGTACAGATCTAATCAAACCACTTTTTCTGCTTAAGGTTATCCTGTGCTTTCTCCTTCACCTACAGGTTAAAGTTTAAACTCCATAACAGAGCATACAGATCTGGGCCCTGCTTGTCTATTAGCCTAATCTTCCATTCCTCTTCCTGTTTGTATGTGCCTATTTACAGCATGTTTTTTTTCTTTTTAATTTCATTGCCTCTGCTCTATCTAGAATGCCGAGACCCACTTCCCCTTGTCCCTGCTTGTCTATTAGCCTAATCTTCCATTCCTCTTGCTGCTTGTGTATGTCTCTTTACAGCATGCTTTTTTTTTCTTTTTAATTTCATTGCCTCTGCTCTATCTAGAATGCCGAGACCCACTTCCCCTTGTCCTCGCTCTCCATATGTTACTACTTTCTGCAAGTCTCTGCCCCCACTAAATTATAACCTAGTGGCAAGAACAATTTTTTATTCCTTCTGAATCCCCAGTGCCTTTCACAGTGTCTGACATGAAATTAGTTGAATTAATAGTTCACTTTAGTAACACTCAATATATCCATCATAGTGTAAATTGTACTATAGGCCTGAGGGTTGGTTGAATCATGCTGTGGAGAGTACTTGTTTCTGAGCATAGATACAACAATATCATGAGTCCCAGTGGTGAGGTTTATGGCATGGGCTTACCTTTGAAAGGTTTGTTAACCTAGCCCTTATGTGTCATAGTACCCTTGTTGTGACACAGTATAACCACAAATCTGAGAGAGCTTACAAGTAATGTTTACCTATTCCAAAGAAGTCATCTGGAGATCCAGCAGGGAGAAACATTAATTTGTGTCTCTCAGGTCCGCTATCACTTATATGGGCCCCATTCAACCCCACCTGCTAGGAGGGACAACACAGATGTGGGAGTTCCATAAAAGAAGGGTAGAGCTGACTGTAATACCTTATCTTTCATTTCAGCTATAAAGAATACTGTGTCTGGCCCTTCAAAGGGGTCTACATATATGTCATGATACACCCCCAATTCCCAGAGGTAATCCTGTAGCTCTTCCATGGTATTCCTCCAGGAGCGGAAGGATGGAATGTCCCCCTCATGTGGCCAAGCAG